GGCCCCCACATTCCCTTTCTGCAGTCCTGGCTCGCCTTGCCCAGAAGACATTTGCAAAGTCCCGTGATGTGCAGAAACCAGAACGGGCACCGAGGGTCTCTCCCTCCAGAGTCCCCACTACGTGGAGGAGCAGACAGAAACCAGCCAGGTCCACTCAAGCCTCCTATCACGTGATGGGGAGGTGACAGGTACAAAGTCCCTGAGGACTCAGAGGTGAAAGTGACCAGCTCTGCTGCGTGGGAAAAGGAGAAGCATTCTGAAGGGAAACTAGAGTCGAGGCTTGAAAGCCTAAAAGGGGGAAGGGAAGTGTATTCCTGGCCGAGCAAGCGGCTTGTGCAGAGGTTTGTGTGAAGTTGAGGCCAGAGCACAAACATCCCTACAGCATTCAGTCACCACACTGTCCCAAAGGGACCAGAAGTCCCCAAGAGCTGATGATGGAGACCCCTAGGTCTGTTTTAAGATTCAGGAACCCAGGGTTCCACATCAGTCCCCCAGCCAGGTCCACCCAAGGAACAGGCATATCTTAAAACCTTGCTATCGCTATGCATGGTGGTCCGTGCCTGTAATCTAGCTATTAGGGAGGCTGAGGCATGAGCGTCAGCAACTGAGTGAAACCCTGTCTCAAAATAAAATAAAATAAAATAAAGGTTGGGAATGTAGTTCAGTGGTACAGCATCTCTGGGTTCAATCCCCAGTGCTGGAGTAGCAGGGATCTTGTGGTCACCTGCTGAAATCAGTGACCACAGAGGAGCAACTGGCCCTGCGTACACAATGTTTTCATAGAGCAGCTGATCCCCTGAGCAAACTGGCTAAAAATAGCCCCGGGATAGATTTCCAGACAAGAGTGACGCATTCAAACCAAAAAGACTCCAAGATTGGCACAGGCGGTGAAACCCAAATATCAGTAGGCTCCTGCAGCCTGCGGAGCACTTGGCTCCATCAGCAGCAGATCTGCTCATTGAGCACCTGCCGGACCGGGGAAGAGAGACAGGACTGTGCACCACCCCTTAAATAGACCATAGCTTGTCCCTACAGCAGCAAGGGGACGGCAGGGCTCTACAGGTACTGACCCCAAAAGGGCCTAAGACATAGTTAATGAAAAAGGCAAAATGCAGGATTTATGGGATCTCAGCTACATTAAACTTAAAAAGAATGTCCACATGTGCATGCATGTGTAAGCACATGGCAAAAAACACAGGGCTACCTCACAAGCCCGTGCAGTGGTACCATTAACCCCACTGAAATTTCTGAGGTCACGGAACCTGACCATGAGATATATAACAATTGCTAAGATTTATGCAGCAATTTTTTTAAACATTAAACTCATTCATGAATGAACTGAGGGATGCTGTGTGCCGGGCCCCACCCTTCCCATATTCCCAAAACAGCACAAACCAAGCCCCACCCCCACTTCCAGAGTGCTCACACTCCAGGGGTTGCCCCTGGGGAAGAAATCACAGAGGGTAAGATGAGGCAGTGTGGGGCAACTTTAGTGTCATCTGCATTGTTTGAATTTTTATAATAAGAAAAAATCCACTATTTGAATAATTAACATGTATTTTTAGTGTTTTCATTGAAAAGGTACTTTTGCATTTGAGGTGCTTACTCTTCAGGTCTCATACCCCAATACTGGGAGTTTTTGGTTTGGGTTTTTAATAAATATTTTTTAATCATACATGGATAATTTATTTTTTTATGTGGTGCTAAGGATCAAACCCAGTGCCTCACACATGCCAGACGAGTGCGCTTCCACAGAGCCACAACCCCAGCCCCACATTTTTAATAATTTTAGTTTTAATTACTATAATAGTAATGTGCATTGAGAAAAGTAAAATATGTATTTCAAAAATCTAGAAAAAGGCATTCTGAATGTTTTCACCATACGGAAATGGTGTCTGAGGCGACAGGTACCTTCACCCTGGTTTGAACAGTGTGCTGTGGAGTCGTGTGGAGACGTGGAGACGATTTGGTACACTCTGAAGTGAGTTATTTATTTATTAGTTATTTTATTTCCTCCAAGAATCCTTTTTCCATACACATTGCCTATCTTCTACTTCTATGTTCATTTTCTAATCAGTTCATGGTTTTGCTTGGGTTGGTTTTTACAGTGCCAGGGACGGAACCCAGGGCCTCACACATGCTAGGCAAGTGCTCTACCACTGAGCCACACTCCCAGCCGTGTGTGTGTGTGTGTGTGTGTGTGCTGTCACTGGGAATTGAACCCAGGGGTGCTCTACCACTGGCCTCCACCCCCAGTCACTTCTATTTTTAGTGTGAGACAGGGCCTAAGTTGCCTAGGCTGGCCTGGGACTTGAAATCAGTCTCCCTGACTGCCTCAGTCTCCCCAAATAGCTGGGATTACAGGCATGCACCACCTTGCCCAGCAAGGTTTGTTTACATAAGTAAATATCAACAATAAAAACAGTGGCCCTGTATTCTCATATGTGCAATAGACATTTTAGAAACCTTATTTTGGGGAGGTATTTGTCATGTTTTATAAAGATATTTGCCATAAACAGTCGTTTGCTGTGGCCCTTTAAAACTTTGTCATTGTTACTGTTTTATACCCTCTTTGCCCCCAGGTTGTTAGATCTTTTGCTTTTTCCTTTGGAATTTCATCCATCATCTAAATGCCTTTCAAGACCCTCCCTGTTCAGAAAAGGAATAAATATTTACATGCATTTCCTTCTAGGTTGTGTGTGCACAGTTTAATTTCCTAAACTTAACTCTTTAATTTACAACCCATTGGACCATAAAATGCCAACCATGAAGACACAGTTCATGCAACATTTCAAAGTTATAAACAGATGGAAAAGTGAAATTATAACCCCAAGAAAAATTTAGCAAAAGCAAGCTTGAATGTGACATACACTAGATTACAGGTGTCCTTGCTGTGGTGCGGCAAGGCTGTTAGGCACAAAGGGCGAGTCGATCACACGAGACCCCCCAGTAGAAGCATCCCCTCTCCACAGACAAAGCCTTGTTCAACGTTTCCTGCCTCACACTGAGATCCCTAGGGCTGGCCATTGGAGTAGATGCTCTGGTTGCCCTGGACTTCCTCCTTCTACCACGCCATGCTCAACTTCACAAAGAAGCCAAAGGCCCTGCCTGGGGCTGCCCGAGTTCTGCTTCCCAGTCCATCTCCCACACCCAGGGGAGAAAGGATGGAAACTCCTCTAACCAACTCCAAGTGGAGATGGGTGTCCTCCTGGATAGAGAAGCCAGATCATCCAGGAGGGGATGCGTTACAACCTGAAGCAGTACTTCTCCCTTCTCCATTGTGTGTCTGTGTCTGTGCGGTACAGAGGACTGAACCCAGGGTTCACACATGCTAGGCAAGTGCCCTGCCACTAGCTACACCCCAGGCCTGGAGCAGTAATTCTCAACGGCAGTGTCTAGCCAGGACCTACTAATAATAAAGGACCAAAGACTGCAAATAATTCACACTTTGCCAAAACTTTTTTCCCCTATTTTTAGGAAATAAGGTCTCACTGTGTGGCCCAGGCTGACCCCAAACTCCCAGAATCAAGCGATTCCCCTGCCTTGGTCTCTCGAGTAGCTGGGACTACTAGGTACCCCCACCACATGCAGCAAAACTTCTCATTTTTAGTATGTAGCTTCAAAAGACAAATACAGAGAGAGAGAGAGAGAGAGAGAGAGAGCGAGCGCAAGGTGTACAGAATAACTATGTATAAACCATGTGCTTTTCCATCGCCTTCAATCGCCTTCTCTGGTCCCACACGGTCCCCAGAGAAGCACTGTCCCAAGCCTCCCAGTCATTCCCTTGCTCTCCCCTACAGCTGTACCAGATATGTTTGTTTCTTAAATCAGTTTTGCATGTTTTTTTGGTGTTAAAATTTCTTAGACCAAATAAATTCAGTGAAGTGTGTTTGAGCAACACAAAAACAATTCTCAAATCCGGCAGCTCCTGAAGCCAGAAGAGTGTGATCACTTACAGGAGAGCAGAAGTGAGGCTGGGAAAACAACCTAATTGTCTATAGCCTAGTCAATCAACCAGTCAATTGGTTACAGATTAACTAGTTAATTGCTTACAGCTTAATTGGCTACAGTGCCTCGTGCAACCAACCACAGCTCAGTCACTGCAATTAAACTATATTGGTTTGGTGTGTGGGGCCCGGTGCAGATGCTCCTAGAAGTTCACGGCCACCTGCAAAATACTATTTAACATTATATTTATCAAAATTGAAACAGAATACATTTCATTCTTTTGCAATCATATTTTTTTTCATTCAACATTATGCCCACGTTTTCTCACGTAGCTCTAATTCACGCATTAATGCTGCTCAATGTGTTCCACTGAATAAACACATCACAAGTTATGTATCCTGTCTACTGTTGATGAACAGTTGAGCTATTTCCAATTTGGGGCAATTATGAGTAATGCTGCTGCTGGGTGCAATGGCACATACTTGTAATCCCAGCGGCTTAGGAGGCTGAGACAGGAGGATTGCTAATTCTAAGCCAGCCTCAGCAAAAGCAAGGCACAAACCAATTCAGAGACCCTGTCTCTAAATTTAAAAAAATACAAAAATAGGGCTGGGGATGTGGCTCATCGGTAGAGTACCCACCCCACCCCCCAAAAAAAGAAGAATGCTGCTGCGAACATCTTTTACAACTTTGAGGTATAATTTATATCACACAAAACTCATTATAAGTGGGCCCATTTATAAATGCATATAGTTGTGCAAATGCATACAGTTGTGCACCCTCCCCACTTCATCTTAGAACACTTCCGTAAATAACCCAGGAGCTCCTCCTGCCCATCTGCAGTCAGCCCCACCCACCCACCATGAATATCCCCAAGCAACTGCTAATCTGCTTCCAAACTCTATACCACTATCTTTTCTAGAAATTTCATACAAGTGGAACTGTACAATATCTTTTGTGTCTGGCTTCTTTCGCTTAGCATGTTTTTGAGTGTCATCCATCCTGTTGTATATACCCATAGGTTTTCCCTTTTTATTGCTGAGGAGTAGTGGTTCATTCTGTGGATATACCACACTTTGTTTATTCATCAGTTGGTGGATTATATTCAGGCTATTATGAATGATTCTGCTAAGAATACTGGTGTACTAGGCTTTGGACCTCTGTTTTCATTTCTCTTGGGCACATACATGCTCTAAGAGTACAGGTCATATGGTAAATTTATTTATTTTTTATTTGGTTTTTGGCCATGCTGGAGATCAGACCCAGAGACTCCCACAGTCTAGGCAAGTGCTCTGCTGCTGAGCTACACCCTCAACCCTTTTTATTTTGAAACAAAGTCTCACTAAATTGTCCAGACTAGCCTTGAGCTTGTAACCCTCCTGCCCTAGCCTCCAAATTGCTGGGATTAAAGGAATGTGCCACCGTGCCCCACTAGAGTGCTTTTAAATGGACTTGATTTTGTTTGGGGGACATCTGACATGGTATGTGATGTACCCATTTTGCCCCAAGTGGTACTTGCTCTGTCCCTTCCCACTGCTGTGCACTGCTGGCCTTTCCAACCCCCCTAGCAGAAACTCAGCTACCCCAAGAACGACCTGGTGCATCTGAAGAGGCACACACCCAGCTTGGAGTGAGAACAACAAAGGTGCAAGTCTCAGCCCTGCTACTTCTTAGCAGCAGGAGTCTCTGCAGTAGCAGAGCGAATCAGCCCTAGCCCTACAGGGCAGCTGGGCGAGGTGGGAGCCGCTGGAGAGACACGTAGAGGAATTATTCCTATCAGCTGGGAGCCTTTAGCCCACAGGCAGGGGAAAGTGATACCCTAAAGCACCTGCCCTCAATCCCCCCTATCCCTTTGAGACCTTGTCTACACACAGGCAATTTTGTCAACCGAGTCAGCTACAAGAATACCCAGCTCCAAGTGGCTCAAACAAGGAAGTGTACGCTTCCAGTATGCTGAGTTATCTTGTGCAAACAGTCACCAAGTCACCCCAGGACTGGGTCAGCAGCCCTCTTCTTACCCCCACTGTGACCAGGGGAAATGAGATGTTTTCTGCTTGTCTTAAACCTGTAAGCGGCTGCCACTTTACATGAGGAGTCCCTTCACTTTTCAGAGGAAAGAGCTGTGGCTCAGAGGCGTTAGGTTCCTCATCCAAGGCCACCTGTGTCTTTGCAACCTGGCCCAGCAAGCTCCCCATTTCAGCAAGGGATGCTTCCAGAGGCATGACATGGACAGAGTCAACACTCTGCAGGCAAGATCCCCCCCATGCCAGCCCCTCCTCACCCCTGCAACCCCACAGCTGGGGCAACTAAAGCACTTCTGGCCCCTTGCAAAAGCTTGGCAAGCAGGCCAGCAAGAACCCAGAGCCCGACAAACAGCACCTCTAGAGCTGCTGGACACCAGCCAAGCTGCCTCATTCCGCAGGGCTGACTTCATGCTTCTGAAGAGCACAAGGCCTGTGTGCAGTCTCTCAGGGTTCAGCTCTTCTGCCAGCAAAGGAAACAGCCCTGGCTGGGGACATGCAGAGAGGTGAGAATGCAGAGCCCAGGCAGCCCCACCACCACCACCCATAGGAAACTGAGCAACACCCCTGACTGCTAAGATGAGGCCTGATGCCCACCCGTCTTCTTGCCTTGACTGTCTGAGGGTGTCCTCTGGAGAAATGTCCACACCCTGGCTACTTCCACCTGTTTCGTTCCAGACTCCTGGAAAGAGAACAAAAGACAGTCAGACTTCATGGGAAGTATTAAGAGCCACTCTCAAGTCCGTCCTCCCACCTCAAAGAGCTGGCAAGCTCACTGCCAGGCTGAGGACTGTGCTTGGTGACAAAAGTAACCATTTATTTTACCCAGAGCTGGAGCAGCTGCCACTTTGCCCCTTCTATGGTGACTAACAGCAAAGGCTTCCAGGGTACTATGCCCAGCATGCGCCCATGACAAACACCTTTATGCTTCGCTTCCACTTTCAGACTTTCCTTTTGGGCCAAATGCCTGCTTGACAGCGGGCAACGGTGACAACGAGCAAGGTGAGCAGCCACGGAAATAGCACGTGGCCAGACTCCAGAACACACTTGTTCCTTCCACTTCCTTCTGGGGCATCTCTGTCCTGTCACCACTGCCCACTCACTCAGGCTGCAAGTCCCCAGCAAGGCATTTGTTCTTATTCAAGTTAATATCCAAGTTCTTATTCTCCTCATTCCATTACATAAGAACTATGTGGGGCAAGAAAGAAGGTCTCCGTTTGTTTGCCTTCCTTCGTTGGGCCTGACCCAGAGGGAGCAGACACAGTAGTTTTAAACTTTCCTTGCTGAACTTTTTCTCAGAATGATGGTTCCCACTCTTCAGAGCTCAAAAAGTCTGCATCCCTTGGAGATATGCAGGTGCAGGATCACGGTGGAATTTTCCATTTATAGAATAATAATCTTCATACCACTCTGGGGCCTGCAAGAAGAGCTCAAGTTCAGTGTCAGCAAACCTGCCAGGCTTCTGTGGGAGTCCCAGAGCACTTGGGCTCTTCTATTTATTTTTCGTGGAAGAGGGGGAAGAAATAAAGGATGACTTTTTAACTTGAGTGCCAACACAAACTTGAATGAGGAACTGTATGGGCAAGTGGATTGTACTACTGCCTGGTTGCAGGTCTCATATCACCTTTTGTCCGGGGCTAAGAGCCCTAACCCAACAGGTGATCAGAACAGGCACCACTTTACTGCCTCAAGTCCTTCCCTGTGCCTGCCAGCAGGCCTTGGATTGCTTCCTGCAGGTAGGGGCCCAAGCCACAGGCACATCAGACCATCTCATTACTCTTTCCACCTTCCCTTGCTCTGCATTTGAATTCTGTCCATGCATGTACCAATTCCATCTCTTGAAATATCTTCTAGACATGGTATGGTGGGGAAGCCACAGGGTCAAGAGAGATTGGGCCCCAGTCCTGGTGGTGGCTGTCACACAGTTAACTGTGTAACCTCAAAAAAGTCTTTCTCTTCAGAAGCTCATTTTCTTCATCTGTAAAGACTAGTAGTAATGAGCCCAAAGACCTCTTCCACCACTAACACTGATTCACCCACTCATTCATTTTAATGTCAGCCCAGGCCAACATTAGCATCCTCTGCCAGGCCATCCTAAACCTGAAGGGTACAGCCAGACCTGGAAGTGTGACTTCGGGCCTAACCAGGGCTTCCGACCTCAGGGATCCCATCTCTTAGTTTCAATACCCACTGCACGGTCCAGAGCCCGGGAAGGAAAGCCTTGACCTGCCACTGGCCCAGACCATGCATTTTACTGTGCAATATCTAGGTCACATCCTAGAAGAGCCCTCAGTGCCTCAAAACTTTCCTTCTTTTGATCTTAAAGGGGGAAAAAAATTACCTCTTCCTGGGAAAGGCAAGACAACCTGTCATCCTATCAGTCAATCAAAAAGTATCTACATTTTGTTCTCCAATGTTTTTACAAATAAAAATCTTATTTGCCTCAAAGCATTAAATTATAATGTTGGATATGCTATTTTTCAAATTGCATACACCCTAGATTTCAATCCAGACCCCCCAGGGGAGAGAGGCTTCACACCCATCATCATCATCACTGTCCTAACCTCTGTGACGGATGAGACGATTTTCTGGCCCTGCCCTCACTCCAACCTAAGTCACCAGCGAATGGCCCCAGACTGAACACCTGTAGGAAGGCTCTAGTCCTGTGGGAAACTCCAGCGCACCTCCGCTATTTACTAAAACCGAAAGCTCTCTGAGCCTTGGAGGTTTGTGAGTATTTCATTCGCCAGAAAACGTTCCTGAGCCCTGTGCGATCAAAGTTACTGGGTCGCTGGGCGGCTACGTTGTAAGAGGTGCATCCTGAGATCTCCCCCGTGTCCTACCTTCCACGGCTTTTCTTGCGCAAGTTGGCGAGAAGCTAGGAGGCAAAAAGAGGGCTTCTCAGTCCGCAGCCCAGGGCCATCCTAGGCTGGAAGGTGGGTGAGTAAACCCTGGGGCATCCCCCGCCCGCCATCCCGAACCCTGTCTTCGGCGACCCTCACCACCAGACCCAGGGAGGCCCAGGCCTGATCACCTGTTCCAGCCCAGGGTCCAGCTCTGGAATCGAGGCGAGCCTCCGCCTGGGTCGGCTCTCCCCTACTTTCCCTCACCTCCCCGCTGCGCGTGCCGCGCACGCCCCCTCCCCAGCCGCCACCAATCAGCATTGGGAGCGGCGCCCGTGGCGCTGGGGCTCCGGTCCGCAGCCAGTTAGCGCCGCGGTCCGAGGCGGCGCCTCGCCCGCCCCCTCACAATATGAAAGGCGCCCCGCAGCTGGCGAGGCGGGCGCAGCGCGCTGGGCGCGGGAGCCGCGCGGGTCTGAGCGGAGCGCGCGCACTGCCCGCCCGCCCTCGGCGCGCCCGCCTCTGCTCCGCCTCGGTCCGGGGCGCAGGCGAGGTGGCCCGGGCGGGGGAGCGCAGGGGGCAGGGCCGCGGCGCCGAGGAGGGGCGCGGGGAGGAGCGGGCCCGATAAAAAGCAGCGAGGCGGCCCCACCCCGTGGCTGACCGGCGGGCAGGCTCGGCGCGTCCCTTCCGTCCGGCCTGCGCCGGCGGCGGGGAGGCGGCGTGCGGCCCGCAGCCCGCCCATGGAGGCTTTTCCCTGGGCGCCCCGCTCGCCCCGCCGTGGCCGCGCCCCCGCGCCCATGGCGGTCGTGCCCAGTGCCCGCTACGTGAGTGCCCAGGGTCAGGCGCACCCGCAGCCCTTCAGCTCGTGGAACGACTACCTGGGGCTCGCTACGCTCATCACCAAGGCGGTGGACGGCGAACCGCGCTTCGGCTGCGCCCGTGGCGAGGACGGCGGTGGCGGCTCCCCGCCCTCTTCGTCGTCCTCGTCCTGTTGCTCCCCCCACGCGGGGGCCGGGCCCGGGGGGCTGGGGCCGGCTCTGGGGCCGCCAGACTACGACGAGGACGACGACGACGACGACAGCGACGAGCCAGGGTCCCGGGGCCACTTCCTGGGGGGCGCGCTGGAGCTACGCGCGCTGGAGCTATGCGCAGGCCCCGCCGAAAATGGTCTGCTGGAGGAGCGCTTCGCCGAGCTGAGCCCGTTTGCAGGTCGCGCTGCCGCGGTGCTGCTGGGCTGCGCGCCCGCCGCCGCCACCACCCCCGAGGTGACGCCGCGAGAGGAGCGGGCCCCGGCGTGGGCGGCCGAGCCCCGACTGCAAGCTACCTCGGGGACAGCCGCCGCCCGGCTGCTCAAACCCGAGCTGCAGGTGTGCGTGTTCTGCCGGAACAACAAGGAGGCGGTGGCTCTCTACACCACCCACATCCTGAAGGGCCCCGACGGGAGAGTGTTGTGCCCGGTGCTGCGTCGCTACACGTGCCCCCTGTGCGGCGCCAGCGGCGACAACGCGCACACCATCAAGTACTGTCCGCTCTCCAAAGTGCCAGCACCGCCCGCCGCGCGTCTGCCGCCGCGCGGCGCTAGGGACAGCCTGCCAGGCAAGAAGCTGCGCTGAGGGCCCGGCGTCCAGTCTGCGGGCACCTGACGCTACTGCATTCGCTGCCTGCCCTCCGTTTTGTTCTGCGAACGGTCTTTCCCTGTTTATTGGTTGAGATGCGGAGCTGTCAGCACTGGCTCAACCTGGAACGTCGTGAAGTCGGCTGTGCGGGAGTACTTCTGTCAAGCAGATTGAGACTAGACGCTGATTTTTTTTTTTTTTTTTTTTGGAGGGGGATGGATGAGGGGGACTGTTTCTAGTTTGCACACATCCAGGACTGCGAAGAAGGCTGGATGTGTATTTCACTAATTGAATATGGCAGCCGAGAGACGCTATTTACTGTATACGTCGACCTATTTTAGATGCGCGTCGGTATGAAATTATCTCTAATCTTGGGTGTTTCGTTTTATGAATGGAGGCACTTTACTAGGTCTAGTATATTTTTTTAATAGCCTCTGAACTGAGCTTAAAACTGACAATTTTATGGAATGTCAGCAAAATGACTATTTTATTGTTTGATGCGCTATTTTAGTTGTCCTTAGTTATATTCTAATTCCAGGTGAAGCAATTATAAGCATTATAAGAAGTGAAATTTAGTTCTTTTCAGTATTAATTTGGGTGGGTATTCCCTCCTTGTGGCTTGTTTCCGTCCTAACTGGAGGTGTAAAATGCAGTCTGTAGCAGGTAGAATACAGCTTCTTTTATGTACCAGATCTTTTATTACTGAACTAGCAACTAGCCTTTTTCACCTTTAAAAACTGTGCCAAGTCATAATCATATTGTGTATACACTTGGAGATGGTGCTGTTTAAAAAAAAAATTATACAGTATGATTGCATAGCATTTTCTCTTCATGCCCCCAACTTCCCATTTCCAGTTTTTTTTTTTTAAATACTGTTTAGTTGCCAGTGGACCTTTATTTTACTCATATGTGGTGCTGCGAATAGAACCCAGTGCCTTGCAAAAGTTGGGGAAGCGCTCTACCACTGAGCCACAAACCCAGCCCACCACCCAACAGTGCTCAGGCTCATCCTGACTTGCTCAATTTCAGGATTCCTAAATAGTGAAGGAAAGCTTACTGTAGCCATTATCCCTCAAACTACAACACAAGATGGGAAAACTAATGTAATAACATGGAGTGGAATCTTCAATACAGGTTATCTGGCTTCAGATATTGGCACACCAGAATTGGCACTGATCAAAATAACTGCTGGGGATTGCAGAGAAGAAACATGGCTCCCCTCATGTTCCCAGTCTTCACAGAAGACACTCATATGCTTCTGGAACCCTGCCAGTTATCAGTGAGAAACCTGATTCATAGGCAAAGGTTTCTAATCATGACCTTACTTCCAAGATCATTTAAATTCAACATGCTGCATGCCATACTATGGTATGTAGACACCTACCCATGAAGACAGATGTACGCAGCAAAAAAACCGAAGTGAATTAAGATGAACGCATGAACACAACTATCTGAAAATACCACCAAGAGATTAAGTACATAAAGCTACCAGTAGGCAGATTTAGCTAGGGTATTAGGAGCCAGACTCCTTTGGTATTAAACAGCTAACTTCCTCCATAGCAAATTGACTTGATCTGGAACACTCATTTGAAGGCATGACAGAGGCTGAGGTAAATCATACTGGGTGGCTTGTGAGCCCTTTTGGAACCAAGGGGGGAGGGGTAGACAGGCAACCTGGGGTTTTTTTTGTTTTTGTTTTTGTTTTAAACCAAGAAAACAATCCACTGGGAAGTCTAACTGCAGATCTGACTGGGCCTAAGTTTAAGTAGCTTAGTAAAACCACTAATTACTTGTTCTGTTCTTTTGCTAGAAGATATACAATTTAAATAAGCTTTGTTTTATGTAGGTCAATATGAAGTTGGTACTTCCCTGGCTGCTCTGCTCTACCTTTTCAAAATGGTCACTCACTATAGGGCTGGGGCTGTAGCTCAATGGCAGAGCGCTTGCCTAGCATGTGTGAGGCACTGTTTGATCCTAAGCACTGCATAAAAATAAATATTAAAGGCATGCTGTCCATCAACAACTAAAAACAGGCGAGGGGGGGGCGGGGGTCGACATCAGTATAAACAAAGAGTGCATTTTTCCAGGCCAAAAGGCCTAGACAAGTGACCAAATCAATTTGGCTGCTTTGAATTTTTCTAAGCCAAATCATACTGTTCCAAATTATAATTCCAAATTATACATGTATAATTCCAAATTATACATGTTCAAGCAGGTGATACTGACATACCCTTAATACAAGAGAAATCACTGTGATTAGATGTAAATGATAATCTGCTCCCCCCCCCCCTTTACTGAGATCTGTTTTAACACAAGGTCTCCCACAACAAGCTCTACAGCTGAACTACTCAGCCCACTCATTCACTGTTCTGACATTACTTTACCAGAACTTGGAACACTAAGCATGGAGTTTGTTGTAAAGTTCCAAAGCCTGGAGAGTATTGGGAAAGGTCTCCTTAGAATTAGTTGGCTGGCCATTATATTAATCTATTTAAAGTACCCCATATCTCACACAACCCTGCCCTAGCAAATCTGCCTCAGTTTTACAGCTAACATTGAAATACTGGGAGCTAAAATATGAAGAGAATACAGCCCAATGAGATCTCCACCCTCAGGCCATCTATGTTAATAACAATGTTCTTCCCTTTTAAAAATGCAGAAGCCACTGAACATGGGTGCCTCCTAGCACATCAGTGAGTGGGTTGGTTGTTTAAATTTAACATCTTAACAGTGTGGGAGCAGAGAGGGTCAGAGTCCAGGATAGCAGAAACCCAAGTGCTAGATGACAAAGCAACAGCATCAGACTCCTCTGCCCTTCCACTGTGCTCTCAGTTCTGATTCCCAGGACAAAGAAACCCTGGGAGAAGGATGTCTGGGAAACGGTCCAAGCCAAAGGGGTAGGTTTGCAAACTGGCCTTGAAACCTGTTATACATGCTTCTATGACTCACCTAAACAAGTCTGATAAAATGTATCTTGACTGGGACTTATCTATGACATCATATGTACAATTTGCTTTACAGTAACAAATTCATAGCAGGTCATTGCCCCAGATAATCACTGATCTTTTTATGAAAGAAAAGATTCTCACAGAAGAGCTTTTAAGACTTCCACATGTTTCATACACCAGAAATGAAGTGTTTAAAACTGATCACTGATAACAGAAAAGCTGCATCTGATTAAGTCAAAAAGCATCAACAGTCCCTCTTCTGGCCTTGTAACTGTACCAACAGGAACTCTCAACAGTGCTCAGTAACAATCAAATTTCCCGTGCCCACAGCCACTAAAATTTAGTAAATAACATTCTCTAAAATTAAGTCATGCCCCCCACCAGGTGAAATTAAGGAGTTTCAGTTAAGAAAGGAGGGCACTTTATAGGAAATGCCCTAGCTGCATTTGCTTTCTGTGTTATAATTAAGGTTGTTTTCTTTTTTCTTTGATATTGAACATTGAGACATTTAATGGCACTGATAAAAACTCAAGTAAAATAAACTTCAGCTGAAAATGCAAACTTACCATTATATAACACTTTACGATCACAAATCAACACTAAAACAAATTCTGTAAGTATTTTATTTATCACTGAAGAAAAAACACAGCAGCAAGTTCTGTGTTGGCTTCAATAAGACCAAATAGTTAATCTTTAACATAGCTACTACACTCCAAAAATTGAAGTCAACACAGTCATTACTACAAATTACTTGTTGAAAGAATCTATTCTGAAGAGAAAGGAAATTAAGAAAAAGAATTTAAAGAATTCCTCCAAATCACACATTTATAAATATTGTCATATTTAAAATGCTTGAAAGGCATGAAGTCTCCATTAATGGAAAAGCAGTTTGCTATTGGCAACAGAAAAAAACAGCAATAGTTTACCAAATGCTTTAAAATTTAAAAGCTGCACTGTTTTGGGTTTGCACTTGAACAGTATTGTCATTACAATAATGACTGCAAATTGCTTTATACTCACCTCTTCTTAAGTAAAATCTACAGAAAATCCCACTGTATCCAATGTCTGTAATATTTACTGCACTTAGAGTGAACCTAAAAACTTCCTAAATTTAGTTAATAGTAAATACCTCAAAATACCTAAAGAGGTATGTTTCAACCGCTAATGGTGTGAAAATTGTTTCAGATCCAATGGTTTAAAGGGTCTTCGAATACATTTTAACAAAAGCTTAACACCTCATTCCAAATTAATATCAGATATTTCAAAATCAAACAAAAAAATATCAGTTCTATACCAAGATAAGGTGTTACTCCATACCCGACGGGTTCACATTTTAAATTTATTTTTTAGTTTTTCTCTTTTGTAAACAAGTGATTGATGAAATAATGCAACACCTTAAATTCCAGAAAATGGCATGGTTTTCCAACCTTCTGTGGATACGGTGCATGATCAATCTATTATATAGGATTAATACAAGTTCATGCTTTTTGTGTTATGGTGAAACAACATTAAAGAATCCAATTTAGATTGGTTGAAGAACAAGTATAATAATCCTTGAATGTGATCAAACCTATGTAAGACACGAGTCTGAATCCACCATCTTGGGACTTAACGTCGTACTGTGGTCCATCCATCTTCATCAGTCTCATTTTTAGTACGACGAAGGGATTCCCTATCTTTCTCAGCTCTCCATGAGGTCTTTTCTTTTTCACCTTCTCGGTCTCGGTCCCGGTCTCGTTCCCGTTCCCGTTCTCTTTCTCTCTCTCTTGAAAGAGCTGGGGGAGGAACTCGGCGAGGGGGATCCCGCTCTTCTGCCCGGTCATCTTTCCTATCATCAGCACGTCTCCAAGAGCTTACTAAAAAGTTCAATTTAGAAAATAAAGCTTAAGTATATACTATATTCTTCTAGCTCGTGCTAAACATAACTCCAGCAAAAGGAATACTTCCCACACTGAAGATTAACAGTACAGAATCACAACTTTAAAAAAAAAAAAAAAAAAATCAATAAAAGTTCCACATATTTTAATTATTTTGACTCTAATTCCTGAAAAAAATCTTTAACATACTTAAGAGATAGAACTCAAAATTTCAAAACAAACAGAAATCATTGGCCTGGGAAATATATTAGTAGTTATAAAATTTTAATACAAAGTGATAAAACTCTGGCTGACCTGATGGGCTTATAATCCCAGCTACTCTAGTGTCAGTCAGGAGGATTGCAAGATCAAGGACAGTCTGGCCAACTTTAAACTTCATTAGCAAGACCCTTTCCCAAAAATTTTTAAAAGGACTGGGGGTGTAGCTCAGTGGTAAACTGCTTGCCTAGTATGCACAATGCCATGGGTTCAATCCCTAGCACAGGGTGGAGGACACTAGGTGAATGGACATTGTTAAATTGAAAGCATTTGGGGCTCTTATTGAAAAATTTAACAACAAATTAGCCATAAAAATATAAAATTTTAAATTATGGCTACAAGAGAATAAACTTATAATACTGCTGTACAGGCAGTAAATACTAAAAGTGTAGGATTGGGGCTGTAGCTCAGTGGCAGAGATGTGAGACACTGGGTTCTATCCTTAGCCCCACATAAAAATAAATAATAAAGGCACACTGTCCATCTACAACTACAAAAAAAATGGATAAATAAACAAATAAAAAATACTAAAAGGGTGTGAGAACAAGTACTTAAGTGCAATGGGCATATTAAATACATTAAAATATTTTTTAACGTTTCAACTGTTAAAATTTCAGAGAAAGAATTATTAAACTTTGTGCTAATCTGCCAGGATCTTAATTCTAAAATAACTGATTAAACTGCTTCTTCCTTTTTGCTAAATAAATTTCATCACTACATATTGCTCATTATC